GAAAAAAGCCAAAATCCACCTTTCAAGTTACTATGGATGGGCGGGGGAGGGGGGGGGGAGGGCAGGGATCTAACTATCCGTTCCTGTACCTTTTACTCCAGGTTCCCGCCCTTTCCCGAGTGGTCACCACTGAATTTGAATGCTCTTCCAGTTGAAAATATTACTCAGTGGTCCAAAATTTATCTCTTTTCTAACAACCTCCTTCCCCGTCTCCCGTAGGGTATCCGCCTACTTTACACCCAAGTCTCCCCCCCCCCGCCCCCTCCTAAGTTAGTTCAATGCGTGATCAGCCTGTTTCCCAGGGATGTGATTTGTGATTTCGTGGAAACTGCCTGAAAAGAAGCTGTCTATTTGAGCTTACTGACTCACCCAGTGACAATAATTTTTAAGTTCAGCTGGAAGTTACCCATTACTGACCAGAGACATTTTAATCAGTCAGCAGAGCAGAATTTGTGCATCTGCACACATCTGTGACATCTACTTGGCTCATTGTTTGGATTAGGGAATGTGCGTGATTTGGCGTAATTAAATGGAACAGGCAGTGAGTGATCTGTAACAACACTGATGCCAACTTATCCTGAATTCAACAAACAAAGAGTGGAATATAACTTGACATTGTAGATGATTTAGTGCGCTATTAAAATTAGCACTGAAGTAGTTTTTTTATGCCTGGTTTGTTTGGAATAGTCATATTCAAATAATCAAGGTAAAGTTACTACCAAAATCATCGTTTCTTGAGAAAAGTGATGGCAGCCACAAACTCGAAAAGCTACGTAACTTTGTTGGTTAATTTTTAGTGTGAGCTCGTTTTGCAATAAACATCGGTTTTGTTGGCATAACGTGTTTGTATTTCCATTCCCCAAACCAATCTAATTACATTTGTTGTAAAGGTTTATTCGTCGTTTCCGCTCCGCCTTGAACTTGCACACCACTAATAGCTACTCAGTTTTAAAAAAGTTAACGGCTGGTTGCGAGTGTAAAAGTGTTAATCATTCCACAGAGTAAAAATCTCGGCAACCCTAGATTGGCCATGTGTGTTAGCTGGCGGCCGTGTCAATATGCGTGTCTTTTAGCCTCTTTCTAGAAACTGAACGGAATTACGTTTCACGCAAGCGTGAACAAATCGGCGGCCATGCAAGAGACACAAAGTCATTGAAAGATATATATCTCTATTTAATATGGCTGTGAATCACGTGAATATATCCAGACCAACATGAATGAGTCATGTCAAAGCCAATTCTCTGAATTGTACACCATGGGCTATCGACTACAAAATAAATTGAAAATACTGAACATTGCAGAGCTTTGACCCCAGAGCAATTTTCAACCAACCCGTCTGTTAGCTCAAGTTCCTACTTGAATCACTGCTTAGTTAATCGTTGAAAGTGTTAATATCGCTTGTTATAAAATACAGGATTGATCGTATCCAAAGCAATATCTATAACTGTGCGAAATAATTATCATTTGACCGAAGTATTTTATATTCTAATGACGCAAGTAAAAACTATCAAATCGCACAAAATCACAGCGTAAATTTGCTCGTCGAGATGTGATGTATCGCGTAAAAATGAATCCAATTAACTGAATTAAACGACGAACACAGAAACATTATTTATAGTACACGTGTTGAAGTCTTTTTGAACAAAGAACTCGACTGACATTCAAGCAATAACACCACAAACATAAATACAAACTTACAGGGTTGTCGTGTTTTGTGGGAGCTCGCTGGGGATGGTTGACAGTCCTTTGTCCTTGCAGTCAACGATGATTCCCGGCTTGTCGTTTTCCATCTTCTCGGTACAGTTACATGACTTTGGACAGGCACTTGATCCGCCAGCAGCGACGATAACAATCGTTACAAACAGCGGCAGCTTACAACCGAACTGAGCCATCTTTTTACTCCGTCACTCAACTCAGTGTTTTTAAAGCATTGAAGCTGCGTCAAACACAGAAATAAAATAGCAACACATGATCCTGGTGATTCTTCACAGCCTGAGTTGGTTCGGATTTCAGAAGGGAAACAGTTCTCAGCTTACCACCGTTCGATCGAACTTGCCAGCTGAATTCGCCGTTCGCTTGTTATGCTTGTGGTTTTCACGCGATGAATTTAAAATTTACATAAGTTAAAGTTAATGATATGCACGGTACTACGCCACTGGTTTCGCTTTGCATAGAAAAAATCCAGCTGCCACATCTGTGTCAAGACAACTTTACGCCGCCTGCGCAATAAATACTTTAATTACGGACGTTATTTGCCTGTTAAACCGGACAGTTTAACATTGCTTCGGTTCACAAAAATACCAACATGTCACGCACACAAAGTAAATAACACAAAGCTAAATTTAACCCCAAAATAACGCAGAATAACGCCGGAAAGACAATCTTGATTTGCACGAACGTTGGTTTTCTGATTTTTTCGTCCATGGCAAAAGTATTGTTATTATTCCATTCGTTTAAGGCGGAATATGTTCAACCTTTTCAATTCTTTGTTTCGATTTTTTTTCCATTTTTGTCTCGTCTGTTGTCAGCCATGCAAAGAATTTCAAGTACCTACTCGTGAGCCCCATCAATTTGAGGGTTCTCTTAAAACACACAACCTGTCTTTGGTCGATAACTTTGAATTAACAAATTGCGTTAAGTCAATCGAAAATCATGTTTTAGTTACAGGGAGTAGAAGGAACTGAAAACAGAAAACTTGTCGAAACCAGCCTTGAAAGATATCTTGCTTTGAAAGCTGATCACAATAACTGGGATAAAAAAATAAACTTGATATCATATTCTGACAACGTCACTACATACTGGAATTATCCTGTCTTAGACGTTAATCTGACATCACCCTTCGATCTGTCACAGCAATCTGGCACTTCTAGTAACATAAACCTCGCTAATTTACATTTATTAGGACAATGTTTTGACTTCAGTGAAAAAGCAATCAGTCATCTCATTACCAAAATTATTTTGCAAAAAAGCACTTAAATTATAGGAAATCTTGTCTGCCCAGTGTAAAAGTTAGTGTTGACTCCAATGGTCACTTCACATCACTCAACTGATTGTAATTAGTCCAACCACTTATGCTTGTTACGACCTAAAGACAAAACTTTTAAAAGTTCGTAAATACGAGTCAAGATGGCTGTTGGGTCACGCTGCTTTGAAGCAGAATAGGATTAGTTAAACAAAGAAAGTGCTCTGTCCCTGTCGCAGCATTCAATTTATTATTCGCTGGTACGATTTAGTATCTAAAGCATTAACAGCCGCCCTCTTTAACAAAACGAAAAGGCCCAATTGAGTGATTCAGTTCAACACAATGCACAGCGAAAATAATGACCAATGAATCCCCAGCAGCATAATAACAGGAGGCAATTAGCGTCGCTTTTCTATCTTTTGTTCTCTATTTTGCTATTAAAATAAAAGAAATTGAAAAAGTGCTATCTTCTCACACTGATGTCCACTAAACACGCGATTAAAACACCCTTCTGGCTGAAGAAAACAAATGAAAAATGCGACCACTGTTCCGAATTTGAACGTTACCTGTTCGCATCGATTAGGACATTGATCACATTTGATTACGCGTCGCTATACGGTAGCTCGTTCGTTCGAAGTTACTTTGCTGCGTTTTCGTGCGCTGCTATTAGTGCAGTCCCATCAAAATAATAATTAGGGTCGAAATTTACCAATAGCAGCGCACCAAAACTCACCAATTATAGATTAGCGCACGAACGGCGATGAACAATAACCACATCTTTTATAACCTAAAACATTTTAATGAAACAAGCTAAAGCAGCGCGCAACACTTTCAGCATTCCATATTTCACATTTACAGATTTTCCATCTTTCGTTATTCATTTCGATACAGGACCCTTTCGACATTGCTGATTCTAGCATGACGCCGCAAGACGCGTGTGATATATGAACCCAATAAATGGCCTGGCTTTGCACCATGAGTCTCGGTAACTCAGGGGTTACTGAGCTCAATCGGTATGTGGGAATGATCGCAGTACATGGCCTGGCTCTGCACCACGAGTCTCTGTATCTCAGTGGTTACTGCGCTTAGTCGGTATGTGGGAGTGATCTCAGTAAATGGCCTAGCTCTGTACCATGAGTCTCTGTATCTCAGTGGTTACTGCGCTCAATCCGTGTCAGGTAGTGATCTCAGTAAATGGCCTGGTCCAGCACCACGAGTCTCTGTATCTCCGTGGTTACTGCAAACAATCGGTATGTGGAGTGATCTCAGTAAAAGACCTGGCTCTGCACCAGAGTCGCTGTACCTTTCAAATTGGCATCTTAATTGGGTATTTTCCTACAAATTATTAATTAAATCTAACAGGAAAATCAAGAAAGCTCACGTGTTGTCAGTATGCAAACACTGAAATACTCGTCTTAGTTTATACCAAAATAATGTACAGGTGGGGGTTGAATTCAAGGTGCTCAATAAGTTGCTCTAATTCGCCAGTGTCAAATCCATTCCGCGTTCTAAATAGTTTCATTTCATACTAGGGTAAACTTCTCTGCAGAAGGAATTCGTAAGCAAAAAGCTTATCCTTTAGCACTAAAACCCATGCGTGCTTTGCATACCCACACAGAGGGAAACACTTCAAATTAATATTTTTTTCCAGCGGTTTCGCATTTACAAGTGAAAAGCCGACGTTATTACTCTCATAAGTAACGAATCATACGGCTTCAAAGAAACATGTGAATGCTTTATTTGGTTTCTGAGCACAAAACTGGAAATTCAATGACGTTTCGTTACATTTTCAGCCATGATACCGGACTCTCAACAAGGTATATTTTACAAAGTGTGCTGAAAACGCTTTTACATAACTATTTTAATATATTAATGTTTCAGTTTCATTATCTTCTGCATAATCAACAGCTGTACCGAGCATGCTATACAAAAGGTAAATATGATGTATCAGTTTGTTTCGTATATGTACACGACAAATATTCAGGGTCTTGCACACTTTGACGGTACCCAAGGCCTGTTAACTTATTTAATCACAGAATTCTATATATATTTTTTGCTGCTTTGCTGAAAATGTGCGGCCATAACACGAGTGAGGCTAGCAAGACTTCATCGCTTTCCACTGACTGGACAGTCATGGTCATTGTGGAGAGTCTGATTGTTCTTCGTAGCGTCTTGTACCTGGATGACTCTAGTCGAATTTCACATAATTCATCGCTGCAAACTTTTCCATAGTCTTTGGAGTTAGTCTCATGGCCTTATATGGCCAACACAATTTGTGCATTTTGATGAGAGTGTCTGCACCGGGGAATGTGTTTAGACTAGACCAAGACCGCCTGCCAAGATGTAGATCCCGCTAAAAGAGTTGCAGCAAAGTGTTAACACGCCAAACATCGGGCCTATATTTGATTGCACGGCACTCCTACGCCCTGCCCGACCCAAAATAAGCTGTCGCGTGAATGAGGCTGAAAACATCGTTTGTATATGAAGATTGTGCATGCTCCGCCAGCTAGACAAATTACTTGGGTTTCCATGAAGTAATTTCCATTTGTTTACATTCATTTGCTGCAGGTGTGTTTAAGTCAACCCAACTCGCCAACATTGAGTGCACATAAAAGCTGATGTTCTGATAGCATACCACAGTTTCCTTTAATTAATTGAAGTATCCACAAGTTTCAATGCGAGTTTTTGTGTCTGCAATTGATGAGTATTAACTAGTACCCTGAGTTTCTCTCGGGCATTTTTTTACTGGCATGAATAAGTAATAAAGTTAAATCCACAAGATTTCAACCGATCAGTTTGTTCAAACGTGCAGAATACTTCTAAAACTATGCTTACAGGGCTTGTTTATAAATCTCTTCTTTAACATCACACTATATTGTATTTCCCAACTTGTTTGCCTTGCATAACTGGTAAGTGGAATATCATAAGTCTGCAAATTCTTCTTCATTTCGCACTTCATGCAAGTCACTTGGAACGTTCTGACAAAGAAAGAGAATACACAGAAATGGCTACAAAGTTGAAAGACAAAAGTTTCCATGCAGACAAATAGTTATTTAGGGAATACAGATTGAATGTTGCGCAACTAGAACACGCTTCATAGGATGACCTTTGATTTGTTTGTAATAATTGCAGTTTTAATCACGACTTCACTGTTAGACACTATTCACAGAAGATTTATAACACAGACAGTCTTGATTGGCTTAGTCTAGCCGGGTTACTTATCTTTGGAGCTATTGTGAAATCCTTATCACGGCCACAAAATGAATTGAAAAGCATTAATCAATCAAATCCATCGGTGTGCTCAAATGCAACCTGACCTTTACTACACTCACACAGCTTGCATTGTCAGTCTCACACTTACTCAGCACATTTTCCCAGATCTGCACTCGGGCGTGTTCTTCTGTTAACCAGTTTTCTGGTCGGCTAAGAAGCCTGTAAAAGAAATGACCGAACATGCACTTAAAACAAACAAAATGTTTCTTGCCAGATGGCAAGAAGTGCTACCTCATAATAGAAGAAGGTTATTTGCATTCACATCGTGAGAGAAATTATATCGGTATAATTCAAAACTTCATATCTGATACATATCTGGTACGATCCCACAAACAAGCAACTCAATAAGTTCACCTTCAAATTTGTAGCTTGTTTGAGGGTAGGAAAAGAAAAAGTGATAACGCAAGAACAAGAAACGGAAACGAGAAAACCAAACTGAGTACACTGTACTTTACATATTTCACTTATCCAAAGGTGATAGTTCAGTACAAAGTACACAAAGTACTCACCGAGAGCTTGAACCAATAGCAGGTACTTCATAATCAGTAGCTCTTCTTGCCGGCGCCATTAAACCTCTGCGGTTTACAATGCCAAATGTAAGTAAGTTGTACCAGAAGTTTACAGTGTGCGCTAACAGATTCGCAAGTGGTTTATTGTAAGAAAAGAAATTGCGCGGGGATAATGGTGTGTAACCTTGCCAACGAACACATTTCGTTAGTTTCAGCGAAACATGGAAGCCAGTGTATTAAAAGTTATCAACTTGAAAAATTATGACTAAAAGTAAGTAGTGCAGGTCCTATATAGGCTCTGCGAAATAAAGGCAAATCACCCATATCAATTTTTAAACTCGTGGCTACGCGAAGCGTAGAAACGTGTTTGTTGCGGGGACTCCGATATGCAAATGTTTCACTCACTCACTCACTCAGGTGTAGACACTGTTCGTAATTAGTCGGCCCGAACGAGAGCGCCCGAGTCCGACGCCATGTTGGAATAGTAACCGAGCCCGACGCCATATCGGAATAGTAACCGAGCCCGCCGCCATATTGGAATAGTAACCGTGCAGTCAGTGCGAGCCTACTACTCAATGCGTGCATCGTACCAGCCCGAATATTGATGATTTTGCAGCTTTTACACGACCATTAATATTAGGTGTTTCGCTAAATTGAAGTGGAGTTGACTTCGAATGTTCGAATTAGTACTATGGCCAACTTAAAGACTGAATTTCAGGAGCATTTGAGTCGTCCAGGCGTTCAAAATGACCAGGA